TATGACTATAGTAACGCCGTTGAACAATGCTGGTGTCAGACGCCTTCGAATATCACTCGTACTAATAGTACCTGCTTGATAATAGTCGCTCGGAAGTCACCACCATATTTATCTGAATAGGGAATAGCGGCGCGTGCACTATAGAGGATAGACTATAAATACAAATCAATCTAGACGTCACACGACTTCCTACATATGCCGTTCCTCTATGCTCACGTGGTCTTCTTAATTCAATAAATAGAATCGAAATCGCCTGTCTTTGCTCACTGGCGATCTATGTTCAAACTCAAGTGTCGGTAGCGACATTCCTATATAACAAAATCGAATAGCTTTTTTTCGACGATTTCTTCTAACCAGTCGGAATTCCAAATGTCGATTGTAGAAATTATTGTGACGTATTCAAGCCACGGTGACATTTCGGAAAAACAAATTTTAAAAATCGTTTATAGATTTTCTTTCAAAATTTACAGACAACAGCGACTTAAAATGTCACCTGGGGCAAATTTTATGTCTTTTCATATTTTTTTTAACTAATGTTCAACTCGTTCAAGACCCAAGAGCCACTCAAGGTAGTGCGTTACTGAAGGAGTACAAGTAAGAGAAAGAAATCAGATAGTGAGTTCGGGTGAAGATTAAATAGGAAGACAGTCACACCCACAGGAGCTGCAGTCATCAACAATCAGGATAGAATTGCCCAGAGATACAGCCGTAAGAGTACCCTTTTTGACAGCATCGAGAGACCCCACCTGAGACTAATCTATGTTCCAGAATCCGTTCACAAAGTAGAAGTATAATAGCCATGATATTATACAGCGTTTGATAGGTAAGCCTCCTTCGAAATTACTGTAAGTTTCGGATCCCTGACAATCAGCGAGATAACGCCCAGAAAACTTTTACCCTCAACATTCTTAATGAAGAGACAACTAATGTAGATAAAGAGATACAAGCGTAATACCCTGAGTGTACATGTCTCGTCTACCCACAAATCAAGGTAACATGTGTCCTAGGTATAGCGATAAACTACATCTGGCAGCAAGGCCTCTGATCAGTAAATTTTAAGGAGCGAGGAATCACCTCTTAATTGCTGTTGTTCCCAGGTCCACACTAACAGTTAAGGTCCCAGATATGGGCAAATATTTAACCCCGACACCTAAACTGGGATCAAAACACTATGAGAGTATAAAAACAGATTTGTATAGTAAAAATACTAGCAATACATTTTTTTTAAATTATTACCAGTAATACATTTGACTCTCGACAAAAAACCTTTACGAAAACATGTCAATGAAATCTGATCTACAAAACAATTTCTTACAACGAATACATATTCTTTTAATATGAACCTATCCTAAAAATCTTGACGGCATTAAATAACCCATTGATGTGTTGATAAGCTGTAAAACAAAATAAAGCAAAACAAACTAAACTCTAGACAAAAAACACTCTTTACAAAAATGCGACAATGAAACCGGATTTATAAAATGATTTCTTACAAAGAATATATATTCTATTCATACGAATTTTATCCTAAAAATCTTGTCGGCATTAAATAACTCACCTAGCTTCTGACACTTTGTACTACGGTAGAGTGTTCGCTGCTCACTAAGCGCTGGCTGTGTCTGTTAACATAAGACTTGTAAATATCAAAAGTGACACAGTGTAGCGTAATGGTTAACGAGCGTGCTTCGCAGTTTATTATTAATGGTAAAGAGTTCGATCCTTACAAGATGACCTCCTTGTTCACTCAGTTAGGCTTCCAATTTACCAAACCAGGTTTACTGAAAAAATAGCTTATTCCCGGATATCTTAGATTCCTTACATGATTCAGCCTTAGAAAAAAAAAATTTCCCTGTATTTTGAATAAATTAATTCTCGCAAAGGAAGTCGGACATTCAAAAATCAACCGAGCACTTGCTTGTTTTTTTTTGTTTTTTTGTTTAATGGTTTTTTTTTTCTTTTTCTGGACAATACTTCTAATGCAGCGTTTCTCAACATTTCAGGGCGCATTTGTAGAATAATTAAAACTCTAAGGTTCATCTTAAATTTTAATAAGGAAAAATTAGTTTTTGAAATTTGAAAAAAGGAAAATAATAACGAAGACTCCTGAAATAAACATTTATTTTTAAGACGTTGTATATTTAAGTATGCCTTGTGAGAAACATGTGCTTTGACAATTGATGAAGGCCTAATAATTGATAAACATTTCCTCATCAAGGCATTCTATATTTGATGCATTTTTTGAATTAAATGTTCGAAAGTGCGTTGTAGTGAAATGGAAATCGTCTCGGAGTGAGATCTCAAAGAGCCGTTCGAATTCCAGTCGAGGCCAAGCACAAATACCTTTGAGAAAGGTATGAATCCAGCTATGGGCAGACTGGGTTGGTAACCATTCTGCAGAAACTCAGTCATGTATCACAAAGGTACATGATCGGCCAAGCGTGTAAACTTAACTGAAGTGCAGAAAATCGAAAACCGCAGATGTATACAATATTCAATGGTTTATTATCTATTTTAGTGAAATGGTTAATGAGCTAACCATGATTAGCTGATATAGGGAACAGTTTCTCTTCAGTTAACGATAAGCCAACGTCATCAGTTGAAACTTCAGTTAACTTAGACAAGGAAGCCGTGTGCTCTCTAACTTTTTAAAAATAAAGATTTTTTTTTTTCAATATAAAAATAATGCATAAATTGCTCTAAAACTTCGTTTGCTCACATTTATACTCAGCATCCTTCTGTAGAACCACATTTGCATTGTCTCAAGTTCTGTTAACTTGGGGCGCAACTGGACAACATTCAGGGCGTATTAGTGCGCCCGGGTGCACCGTCTGCGAAACGTTGTTCGAATGTATCCCATGAAATTCTGAAATGGAATGGATCCTGAGATTTGTGAAAGTATTTTCGATAACCACCAGAGCTAGATACTGCTGTCTGCAAGTGGAAGAACTCTCATTGTCTTTACTAAAAATGTTGTCAAAATATTGATGCTGTTGTCACCACATTTGATGTTGGGAAATGATACAACCATCGTAACTCATCCCGCGATATTCTTCAGTATACAGTTTACTGTCTTCATAGCTAGATGTTGTGTTAACGATTTTCTTATTGCCAGATATTGTTGTTAGCAGTAAAGTTATTCGCTCAACAAAATTTCAACGGCGTAGTGTAATAGCTAAGACGTTAGCTTCGGAGACTTTTACTATAGTAGAGAATTTGAGCCACATTAGGTGTCCACACTGTCCGTTAATGTAAGATCCGTAAATATCAACGGTGGCACGGTGTAGAGTAATGGTTAACAAGCTTGCTTCGCAAATGTTTTAGTCCATTTCGAGCTTTCAGTGGCTTTGAAGTGTGAGACATCTTAATGCTGGAGTAATTGAAATTTTTCTTTTTCTTCTTCTATCTGCCATGTTCCTTCGGGACTTGTTTGATGACGGCTCTTCACAATTTCATCTCCTTTGTAGCCCTTATCGATGTTTCTCTTTTGGTTTAATTCCTGCCACAAGCCCGTTAAGTGTGTAATGCGCTGATTGCCTCTCTCACTTTTACCATCAATACATACTGTGAGTGTCAAATTTTCTCTAAAACTTCGTTCGCTCACATATATTCTCAGCATCCTTCTGTAGAACCACATTTGTATTGTTTCTAGCCCTTCCCCCATTTGCGATGAAATTGTCTAGTATTCAATGCCAAAGAAGAGGAAAGATATTAAGCTAACTTAAACGACACAGCCACTTGTACCCGAAGATGCCTGTCTACTAAAGCGGCTAGATAATCCTTATTGCAGACGCCTGCTCAGGGACATTTGTGTTTGTTCAACACAGAGCCAACCTTTGGTTTACATTGCAACTATACTGAGCGGAGCTTTGTTGCAGTTTCTTGCAGTGAGTGTGTTATCTAGCGTGATCAATAGTCTGAACAAGGCTAGAACGCTCATAACCTCGGTCACGATGACTTGTGGTTTCGTGCTAGCACCGAAATGGTTCCATCTACCCACTTTCACTCACAAGGCTTCAGCCGACTGATGGTATGTTTTTCACGCACTTTCCAAATGTGCCGATAACATCAAGATTCGAACTCGCATCTAATCGTTAAAAGGAGAACGCTCTAACCACTCGCCCACGTGCCCATAACAAATAGAAATTACATAACAGTCAAGTAGCCTTTTCTTTGTTTCGGACAAGCTTTTCCTGTATCTTAATACTTTGCTAAGCATTTGGAAGGCATCTTTCGCTATCCCGGATTTCAATATCATATTTCCCGTTTTCTGTTAAAACATTCCTAGATATTTAAATTGTTATATTTGCTGGGATTTGGTGTCTCTGTTTGTAATTCATATACTGGACTTTCCCTTTTGCTGACATCCATAAATTCTGTCTTCTTGCATGTGGTGCTTAGTCCTTTCTTCTTGCTTTCCTTTACTAACTTCTGTAGTATTTTCTGTTATTTCCGTTCTGTGTCTGCTACCAACACTGCACAATCTGCATATTTTATACTGTTAATATTGTAGCCACCAAAAATGGATCCTCGTAGGAGTTGTGATTTTATCATGATTGTTTCACTGTAAATATTGCATAAATTTGGTGAGAAGACAGGTCCTTTAATTACGCCTCTTTCTATTCTTGTGTATTTAATGGATTCCTTTTCGATCCGTGTGTAGGCAATCCGATCCCTAGCAAAACTTTAAATACATGTTTGCACCAGTACTTTTATATATAGCAGATGTTTTTTTTCCACAAGGGCAAGCTGCAAAACCTCGTATGTAGAATATATACATACATACGTCTCTCTCTCTCTCTTCTCTCTCTCTCTCTCTCTCTCTCTCTCTCTCTCTCTATATATATATATATATATATATATATATATATATATATATATATATATATATATACATACATATATACATACATCGAAACAAAGACTGAAAAACAGAAGGACATAAGAACATATAAAAATATGAACAGTGATATATAAGAGAAAATATATCAGTAAGAATTCGGTTAGAAAAATTTGATTATTATTGGCAATGAGTTGAATACATATAGAGATAGAAAACTCACTGATATGAATAGATAGATAGATAGATAGATAGATAGATAGATAGATAGATAGATATGATCAGACTGAGATAGATAGATAGATAGATAGATAGATAGATAGATAGATAGATAGATAGATATAATCAGACTGAGATAGATAGATAGATAGATAGATAGAGAGAGAAAGAGAGAGAGATATGTACAGAATGGGAAAAATAGGACCTGACTGATAGGAAAAGACTTAGATAGATAGATAGATATAAGCACGATGAGATAAATAAGAAGTGAATGAAATATATATATATATATATATATATATATAGATAGATAGATAGATAGATAGATAGATAGATATACAGAATGTAAATAAACGTGGATATACTTGTGACTAATGGTTAAGCTCTTAATTTCGTACAATGCAATCTCTATGTACGCGTTACACTCTCCCCAACGACTTTTTCAATTTCTGGTGTTCTTTGTTGTTTTTAAAATAACATCCCTATTTCTTGCCTACATTCGTTGTCGGATTCTTGACCACGATAATGTGTCCACATCAGGAGTCATCGTAAAGGCAAGTCCTTGAAAAAAGAATCAACTCTTTATTCTCAGTCTCGCTTGAAAACCTAAATTCTAGACATGACCGCAGAAAAGGAGCCCAATTCTTAACCAAAGCACCAAAACAAACCCACGCCGAACTTAGAAATAACAAAGACGTTGTAATTCGAAAATGCGATAAATCTGACAGTTTTTCTTGTTTTTCGAAAAGACTGATTTCAATGCAAAACTCAGGCCTAGTTTTGGCAACAAAGCTAACTTCTAAAAACGATCTAACACTTATCTCTTCAAGAGAGAGATAAATAAAATTATTTCAGTCATTTACACTGGTCGCATCCATCGAAATCGAGGAATTTGTGGGTGTGAATTACCCTAGCTATCTTTAGGGGGAATAAAGTGGCTCATCTCTGTGTTGCATAATTTAACAAATTCCTCTTACAGAATTGTATATAATTATATATGAAATAACGATATATATTTTATATATATATATCAGGAACGATATTGGGAAAAATGTATGACAAAGTGGGAAAAGTTTTCTTGTAACGCGTTTCGGCCTTTAGGAGTTCATCAGACTAAATGTGTTATGCTGGTCCGACTACGCATGCGCACGAACGAGGAATGCTAGAAATCACAGTGTGGGATATCGACTAAAAATGGTGGAAAGAAAAAGAAAAAGAATCTAAATTAAATCTGCTCGATATGAAAAAAAAATGTAAAATTCCCAGCATCTCTCGTTTGTGGCATGTGTAGTTGTACTTATTTTATTTTAGTATCTCCGATTTGCAATTTGAATTTTGGGTTCATACTTCTACTGATAACTAAGCATTCTCTCTTCTTGTAGTTTATAGTTAGTCCTTTTATCTCGCTTTCCTTCGCTAGCTTCTGTAGTCTGCTATCAACACTGTGTCATCTGTGTATCTTATATTGTTAAGATTGTGGCTGCCAATAATTAATCCGGATAGGACTTCTAATTCTCTATTAATTTCCTCGTTGTATAGGTGGCATAAATCTCATGTTGCAGTCGTAAAAATATCAACTATGCCGCCATAATCGTGGCCTTGTCCAAGTCTAGTGAAATCAAATTCATATTTATCCATCTCTGCTATAATTTTCAGAAAAGTTTTAATCCGTACAAAGCAAATTTTTGGTAATCCGAACATCTTTGCGTATCTATTCAAGTAAAGGCCGCTTTGAACGGCCGATTTTTCCCTCTTAATCCAGAAGTCGATCTCTGCTTACCGCCAAATTCCGATAATATCACATTTCCAATGCCAATATAAAGATTTAACAACGCATCAGAAGACGCGTTCGATCAACGCATTTATCGATCTGCGGCGTAAAATCCATCGTCAAACATGGATTCGATTGATAAAGAAATGTAAGGTCAGATCACTGACAAGAGCTTTCCATGTAGAAATAGAGAAGGTTTTTTTATTTAAATTAACAAACTCTTTGTGTGTCCGCGTATGTGTGTGTGCCCACGCGCGTGCGAGCGTGCCTGTGTGTGTATGTGTGTGTGTGTGTCTGTGTATTTATATGTGCGTGCGTGAGGAGCACACACTCTCACACACTCAACAGATATCATAAAACCGTAACCTAAATATTCACACACAAAAGCATCTATCTATCTATCTATCTATCTATCTATCTATCTATCTATCTATCTATCTATCTATATATATATATAAATATATATGTATATATATGTATAATCTTGTTATTTTTATTATAAGAGATTATAATAAAACATTCACTACACAAAAGCTTTAATGTTTCGATACCATGATTTTACTTCTTCAGGCGATGGTCCGTAAGTGGTGATAAAAAAAAATGTGATATTTAATAACAAACGTGTGTGTGTTTGTGTGTGTTTTTCCGTGTGTTTGTGCGTGTCTTTGTATATATATATATATATATATATATATATATATATATATATATATATATATATATATTTTTTAGTAACTTTTAAATTAATATCTGTGATAACCACTCTCTCTGAAAAAAAACTGCCAAACCGGTACTCTCAAAATTAAGAGTCGTAGCCTCCTCCAGTCCTGTTGCCAAAATGTCATAAGAGCCACTCTTATTAAGGCCTCGGGCGAAGGAACCTGAAACCCAACAAGAAACAAGAGATAAACATCTATAAAAGATGGCGTAGGATTGTTAACATGGTGATAGGCGAACCTACCTACTCCTAACGAGCCTGTGTAAACGCTTGGCAGAAAGAAAAAAGTGTAGGAGATATAGCAAAAAAGACAGGCTATAATAAAGAGGAAGTGACAGAGAGTCAGGATCGTCAACGTCCTGAAAGGACAAGGCATGAAGAAGAAGAAGAAGAAGAAGAAGAAGAAGAAGAAGAACCGTAATATTAATCAAATTGGAAAAGAGTGTTAGTGTTCCGTCCTGTATCCCCCACTAAGTTTTCAACACCCTCGGAGCCGGCCTCTGGTTTTTACTATAAACAATGCTGAGCAGATCTTGATTACAGTTTATCGGAGAGAATGCATTATCTGGCGTGATCAACAGTTCGAACAGGGACAGTATACACAAACCCTCGCTTATGAGGACTTGGGATTTCGTGCCAGCACAACCCTCAACGGGTTCTGAAAACTTTTGCCAACCAAATATCAATAAAAAAAACTTGGGTTAACCTGTGTTTAACCAATTGTGACTTACGATGTGACTGTCTCCCCCGGCCTATACATACATATATATATATATATATATATATATCCATTACATAAACTTACGTGCATTCGAATCGATTACATTAACTCATGTGCTAATACCCTTGAGGAAAGCGTGAATCCTCTTCTTCTCCCTCCAGCTATGGGTAAATAGCAGGATAGACTAGGTTTTATAGCCTTGGACGGCAACTGGTCTAGGAGAAGGACATCTCTGAATTCAAAAGCTGCGGAGGGTTGTGCACCAGGTCCCTGTATTCGGCCCTTCAAAAAGTGTGGATTGTCCTGCACGAAACTTTCACCATTATAATCAAATCTCATGTGCTGTTGTCGGACTGTCGGTTTCCTAAGAACTGATCTGCTTGACCCTCATACGTCGTATTTGACTGAAGAGTCAAGTATATATATATATATATATATATATATATATATATATATATATAGATCACATTAAACATTATTTTAGTGGATACGCATATTTGAATAGACGATTCATTTATTTATTAAACAGTATGTGTATTTGATTTTGCCGGCCTGAATATTCGAGAAAAAGATCGGATGATTGGTGATATTGTTGAGTGTCTTCAGTGGTATACCAACACCTCTATGGGTTACTTAATGCCGAAATGTAAACATTTTAAACACAATTGTATGGCTTCAACTACAAAAGAATAAAAGGAAGAGAGTATAGCGTCCTTAAGATTTACCTTAAACATCGTTTCCCAGATTCTCAGGCATATAACACTAGCTCGGAAACAAAGGCATAATGAAGAGGCAACTAATCAAGGACAAAGAAAAATACCAGCATGCTACTCGGAGTGAATAATTATCATCTACCCAGGCAATCAAAGAAATAGAATATTTTGAATCAGAAGCACTTGGTAAAGAGCGTGTTACAAAGGCTTTTCGGAGATGAAAAAAGAAAAAATGTTTAGAAAGGTGTTTAAATATCATATTTTTTTCGTGGTTTTGCACTAAATCTTCCTTAGTGCATATGTGTACTAAAGTTCTTTATGTCCTTTTTTGTATCTGTTTGTTAAAATAAAAAGAAATATAATTTCCTCGCGTGTATGTGCAAGAAAAAAAAGGCAGAGGAAGAAAGCATAAGTGCCACGTAGCTTCGTCGGGAAAAGCGTAAGTGTCATGTAGCTTCCTCAGGAAAAGTGTAAGTGTCACGTAGCTTCGTCAGAAAAAGTGTAAGTGCCACGTAGCTTCGAGTGGAAGACGGCTGAATGAGTGAGGGATTCTCTTTTAAGACGCCAACGTGAACTGTTGTCACGTGTATCTTCTTTTTCTTACATACCATTCAAAGGGATCACGAAGCATGTTTTTCTTATTATTATTATTGTCGACGTGGACGCGATACGCTGGTTGAAAAATGTTCAATATCTATTTTCAAAGGATTAATTGATTAGCCGGAAGGATGTGCGAGTCCACCGACTCAGAAACCTTTTTTGCCATTCGATGTTTGTCTTGCTGTTTATTTCTGTCTTCGCTCCATGATATCCTAAAGCCACTGAATTTAATATGACTCTAGAATTTAAATAGAAAAGCTAACATTCTCCTCTACTGTAAACACTACATTCAGTTCATGTTAATGGCTGAAAGTTTTGAAAATATAATATGAACTTGTCCCAATTCATCCCCAAATTTGATTTGGTTTTGCAATATGTTATTCGAAAAATGTAAAAAAATACAATAAAGAAATTAATAGAGCCGGAGGAATTCGGACTGCATAGATAGATAGATAGATAGATAGATAGATAGATAGATAGAATGGGACAGCTAGATTTGAACAAACTAGGGTAGATAGATAGATAGATAGATAGATAGATAGATAGATAGATAGATAGATAGAGAGAGAGAGAGAGAGAAAGAGACCATCAGGAGATAGATAGGAGATAGATAGATAGATAGATAGATAGATAGAATGGGACAGACAGATTTGAACAAACTAGGATATATATATATATATATATATATAGAGAGAGAGAGAGAGAGAGAGAGAGAGAGAGAGATAATAAAAGGGGAGATAGATAGATAAATTGGGACAGACAGAATTGAACAAACTAGGATAGATAGATAGATTGATAGATAGATAGATAGATAGAATGGGACAGATAGATTTGAACAAACTAAGATAGATAGATAGATAGATAGATAACGTTATCTTAAGAAAGGGGTACAAATGAAAATAATTTGAAATTGACAACTTCATCCGTTTTACGAAAAAAGACGTTAAACACGAGATCGTTATCGTCTCTTCGATCTTCCCTTCTTTCTGTCTTTCTTTCTTTCTTTTTCTTACTGCAAACACTGTCTCTGATACGCTGTCCCCGTCTTTCCTCGCAACCAAAACGGAATAGTTATTATTCATGAGGTACTGGAAGGGCGTAACGTACGCACTAGCTAAGGACGGAAGGGACAAGTAGAATTATTAACATTTTAATTTATTATCCAAACAGCAGCATTAATAACAATAATAATAATAATAATAATAAGTGCTTGTTAACTAGACATTACCAAGCATATATACTAAAATATTGTGTTAACGCAAAATGCAGGTTCTGTGATAATTACCCAGAAACAATCGATCATCTTATATCAGGTTGCACGGTATTGGCACAGACTTGAATATAAAATCCGGCATGACTGAGTTGGCCAATATCTGCACTGGAAAATTTGCAACTTCTACGGGAAGGAAACAGAAAGAAATTGGCATAAACACCACCTAGACCCGGTTACGGAGATAGAACCTGTTATAATTTTATGGGGCTACACAATACAAACAGACAGAACAATCAATGCTTACCGTCCAGACATTGTTATTAGAAACCGCAAACAAATAAAGTGCCTCTTTATTGATATGGCAGTCTCTGCGGGCTGCAATGTATCTTTGAAGATATTCAAAAAGCTATCAAAATTCAAGGATCGAAATCTCAAAAATGTGGCATATGGGAATATCAACAATCCCTGTTGTAATTGGAGCCCTCGGATTGGTTGGAAAAGATTCCAGTAGACTAATTGAAGGGATACAAAAAATTGTTCTCACGAGTTCAGCCCACACTTTACGAAGTGCTTTATCTATGTAATATATATATATATATATATATATATATATATATATATATATATATATATATATATATATATATAAATATAAATATGATATATAATATATAGTAGGTACATATATATATTTTACATAAAAAAAATATATGAACTCAAATATATATATAAAAAACATTTATGCATATACATATACATATATATTTTTTTTTTAATAAAAAAATTCAAGAGGATAGAATCCATTTAGAACTCAATGTCCAGTACAGAGTAAAGGATATAATAAAAAGGCTGAAACACTAAAAATTAGTGGTTGCCTTTTATTTTTAATATATGATATATATATATATATATATATATATATATATATATATATATATATATTGTCGTATAGGAAAATGTCATGATGCTATGAAAATTTCGGACATTCATTAAATGTCTCTGGATAGGAACATAAACAAATTTGCAAAAAATGTTCTATAAAAGAAACGTTAAAATAAAAATAATAATAAATATACCTTGTCCATTTCTTAATAATAATAATAATGATTGGAAAATAATTACTTATGTGCAGAACCCGATACGAAAAACAGCCAGGAAATAATAAGCAAAAAACTAAAACAGGGAGCAAAAGACAACGAAATATACTAAATGCAGAAACGATGGCAAGATAAGTCTCTTCATGCTCAATACACTGCCCTTACCAAATGTAGAGTGTCTGATAAACATCCAGAAACAATTCGCCATCTTGTATCAAGTCGAACAGCGTCAGCACCCGCTGAATATAAAACTCGGCTTGATAGAGTGCGTCAGTATCTACACCAGAAAAATATTCCACTTTAACGGGAAGGAAACTGCAAGGAACTAGTATGAACATCACCAAGACCAAAGTTACAAATTTTTATGGTAATTTATCCACGCACGCATGGACACTCCCAGCTATAAATAGGAGCAGGTACTGCCTTTTAGAGAGGGAAGTTTCCAGCAGTCATCTATGACAGTCGGACCGAACATTATTGCTGTAATACTCTCATTTGTATGTTTCTATTACTGTTTCTGTTAATATATTTGTTTAAATCAGTTCCTCTTTTTGTGTCTTTATTTCTGGCCCGAACAAGGCCCCAACACAGAGATAGGACTTGTAATAATTTTATGGGATTTTACAATGTACACTGACAGAAGAATCAAAGCAAATCACCCAGACATTGTGATCAAAGACCACAAAAAGAGAATGTGCTTTCTTATTGACACGACAGTCCCTGCAGATTGTAATGTATCTTTGAAGATCTTCCAAGGACTTGTTAAACAATGATTGCGTGGGTTGCTCATTTGAAAAATTAAACAAAATATTTAATGGCCACATGTATGATGTCCAACGCAATAATGCGACATCAACGGGATTTGCGGAACAATTTTATCACGAACGACTGAACCTTCGACACTTTAAGGTAAACATTCTGAAAAAAAATCCAGAAGCAACAGAGATTTGAACTCTTAAACATATAATTATAATGAAAATATCTGTCTATATTTCTGAGATGAGGTAATTATTTACATTATTTATATTGTTCGGGCTATTGTCCTCATTTTTATTGTCCTGTTCACGACGTTTCTGCTGTTGTACGCTCCGGCCTTCTTCAAGTGTTTGGAATTTTGAACTGGAAAATTTATTTCGTCCACCGGAGTAGATTGTTCTTGTTCCACATGCCGTGTCTCTTCCGGATGTCTCGGTTATCTTCTTTTAACCTCTTTATCCAGTGGATAAAAGCATTGGTGACTTGGCCCAAAGAAATTTGAGCTCAATACCTGTCTATGGCAGTGGTAAACAAAAAAACATGCTGATTAGAATAAATTAAAAACATTCCAGGCTAGATCCGGATCTTGACCTGCAACACTGAAGTTTTAGATTTCCAAGTTTTCATTACTGCGATTGTTTTCCGGGATTTTTTTACGTGTTTTTTTTTTTAAAGATTTTTTTTTTTGTACGGTAACAGTTTTTATAAGTTTTAAATAAATTTGGGAATAATCAAAATAAATTGCGAAATCCAGTGAAAGTCACACATGAAATAAAAATACTTTTTCTACAGAAAGTAAGGACCTACGTACATCAAATTGTCTTTAAATGAAGTGGCGGCAGAAGAAATATCGTTGAACTTTTAAAAGGTAAGCTTATTAATGCAATGCTTAAATGCAGCAATCAATTTTGAATCCTGCAGTTTTCTGTTTACTATCGCATCTACACTTCCCTAACTACTGCGATGAAAGCCCAATTAAGCGCCCACTGCAGGAGCTACCTCAAATGCCCCACCCCCACTATCGTGTGGTTTTTAAACTAGTATATATATATAAATATATATATATATATATATATATATATATATATATATATATATATATATATATAAGATTAAGAGATCTGCCAATTATACTACTCTATCCGTGTCTTTGATATTATTCATTCTACCATAAAGCCTGCTTGCTTTAAATGCCTACTTATCATGAAACCACAGAAAAACAAACATTTCAACCTATTTTAAGTGAAAAAAAATTAACCCCTTGAATCCTGTGTTCCTGAACAATTTTGACCCTTCTGTCTGAGTTTCTGAGTCAAAATTCTCAAATAATTGGTGTATAATGTTTCACAGTAGATATAAAAATGTATGAATTTAATCGTGCTACTAGATTGGCATCTTAGTCATACTCTTTCACTGTCGAAAAGGTTAAATGTAGTCGTCTCTTCTACTCCAATAGCTCCATGACTTGCACTTCCCGTCTGTGGAACTCCCTTCTTCTTACTTGCTTCCTGATAGCTATAATCTTCAATTGTTCAAATACAATGTCAATTGACATCTCCAGATGCCTTGAACTATCCACCCTCCTTCTCTACATCCTTTCCTCTTTCAAGCCTCTTTACTCCTGTTACCATTCTTTGTAACCACTTGCGTGCTAGTGGCACTCTAAATAAGTTACAAGTGTTTACCAACCGTTCAACTGGTGGCTGGGCATTACGTCATTTTTGTCTACCACTGTTCAACCAGTGGATGGGTATTACGTCATTTTTCTCAACCACTGTTCAACGGGTGGCTGGGCATTACGTCATCTTTTACCACTTTTCAACCGGTAGCTGCGCATTACGCCATTTTTCTCTACCGCTGTTCAACCGGTGGTTGGGCATGAAGTCATTTTTTTCTACCACTGTTCAACCGGTGACTGAGCATTACGTCATTTTTGTTTACCACTTTTCAACCGGTAGCTGCGCATTACGTCATTTTTCTCTGCCACTGTACAACCAGTGGGTGAGCATTACGTCATTTTTGTCTACCACTGTTCAACTGGTAGCTGGGCATTACGTTATTTTTCTCTATCACCGGTAAGCGGTTATCAGGGATCAAAGGCTTGATACATTTAACGCTCTTTCCCTGTCTTCGATATTGAGCACTCTTCCACAAAGCCTGCTTGCCTTCAATGCCTGATTATCACTAAACCACTGAAAAACAGCAATTTTTGGTTTCAAAAACAGCATTTCAAATTAACGCTACATAATTAAATAAATTGACTTCGAATATTCCTAACATACATCCAAATTTGCTGTTGTATTTCTACAAAAAATATCATGGAACAAATAAATTACAAATATTCCTTAAAATACTTTCCTACACCAAATATACACGAATATCGAAAATTGAAGAATTCTTAAAGTGTATATTTTGTAAAGTATTTCATTTCTTCAATAACGACAACAGCAATTTCAGATTTAACAAAAGCCCACCACAACAGAACGACATCATCGCTATTGAAAATGATGCAATAAGTAAAATAAACAAATTAGAAATAAGGAAATCCAACAGCATATTACATAAACAACTAGCAAAAGACCAAAAAATAATAAGCCAATAAAAAAAACTCTACTTACAGGCCGACAAGTCCAGATCCATCTTTAAAACAGAAGCAAACAACTACAATCAAACTGCAAATGAAATTACCAAATTCTACAAAACCATCAACAACAACTTAGATAAAAACATAAACGAAAAAGCTAAAGCCATAGACAGGAAATGAAAACTAGACAATAGAATAAAACAATTACCGAAAATAGAACCATTT